TTTCTTCCCATTTCTGTTTTCCTTCTGGGAACTGTACTATGCATATATTGATTTGCTTTACTGTATCCCATAAGTCCCATCTTTTTCTTTTTTTTCTCCTATGATGAATGAGTTCCACTGCCCTGTCTTCAGGTTTGCTGATCCTTTCTAACACTTGATCTTGTCTGCTGTTCAGTGCTTTTGTTGAATTTTTCAGGTCAGTTTTAATATTTTTTACCTATGTGATTTCTCCTTAGTACTTTTTAACTTCTTATCTCTTTTTTGAAATTTTCACTTTATCCATGCATTGTTCTCCTGATCTAGTTGGCATCTTTATGATCACTGTTTTGAACTCTTTATCAGGTAAATCTCTTATCTCCATTTAATTAAAGGCTATTTCTGGAGTTTCGTCATATTCTTTTGTTTGGAACATATTGTTTCCTCATTTTACTTGACTTCCTGTGCATTAGATAAAACATATATCTCTCCCACAATCTTGAAGGAGTAACCTTGTGTAGGATATGAACATTATCATTTGGCCTGGTCAGAGCTCTTAGTTTTCTCTCAAACCTTAGTGATAATACAAGCTAGAATCTTTGTTCTTAGTGGTTCCAGTAGTTGATGTTGTTGTCAATATCTGTCAGTGTCCCCAAGGGGAGGATGCCAGTCAGCACTTAAATTTGAGCTTTTGGAAGCTGGACCCTCAGCTACAGCTTGTAAGATATGCAAAACAGATTCTTTCAGGGAAAGACTGGGAGATGAATATTTCTAAATTGTGCCTCCGTACTGAGCTCTTGGGTTATAGCCAGTCAAGAACTATTTCTTTGTTTGCTATAGTATTCTGAAACTTACAGATGCAAACTCCACTGGACACTGAAGCCAGGAAATCAATAGTTGCATCCTCTGTGTGGCAAGCACAATGTTGGGGTGCCATACATGTGCACAAGATCCTTTCAGGGAGATATTGGTGACCTGGAGTGTGGCAGAGTGAGATTGCAATCATCCTTTAGATGTGTGCTAAATTAGGAGCCTGACCCTCAGGTTACAGCCTTAAAAATATTTAATTAGACCTTCTTCAGGGAAAGGCTGGAAGATGCGTGTTTCTACTACCTCTGCACTAAGACCTAAGGGAATAGCCAGTGTGAATACTAACAAGCCAATTAAGACTGTTTCTTTGTTTGGATAGTGTTGTGGGTCTCATGGATGCATGCCCCATTGGCTTTCAGAGCTAGGTGTTTTAGAGCCCTATCTGTTAGGTGGAAGTTTTCAAACTTAGCATACTAGATGTTAGTCCAAAATCTTGATTCCTTAGGGAGAAGCTGGCAGTTGTGTTTCCTCCCCATTGTATGTTGCTGTGCTGGGTGTGGAGTTTATACTGAGAGTGTATCTCAGCCTTTCTTACTCATTTTGATGTAGTTTTTCTCTTATTTGCCTGGTGTTTATGAGTCACTCAGCTAATTTCTGTATTTCGTTCAGAGGAAATTGTTGCATGTGCAAATGTGACTGAAGTGTATCTTTGGGAGGAGATGAGTTCAGGAGACTTCTATGTCACCAACTTGGACCAGAACCCCAAAGTCATTTCTTTTCTGAAGTTCTAAGCCTTCTTTTGTTATCATTTCTTTCTTTCTATTTTAAAAGGAGTGATTTTTGTAACCAATTTTAATTGGGAGTTTTACTAGCAACAAATTCTAAGTTTTTTTAAAATCTGAGACTGTCTTTATTTTCTTTTCATACCTGAAGAATATTTTTGCTGAATATAGTGTGTAGTTGATCGTTTCTTTCTTTAAGTCTGGAAAAATGTTGTGCAACTTATTAAAAAATTGTTTCAAAAGAAATATATTTGTTACTTGAATTGATTTTCATCTATAAATAATGTACCATTTCTATCTGTGTGCTTTCAAGACTTTTTCTTTGTTTCTTTTTTATTTTCAAAAGTTTAATTATGATGTGTTTTGGTGGCGTGGATTTCTTCACATTTATCCTATTTTAGATATTATGTTTTTTGAATCTTTTGGTTTATGTTTTTCCCCAAATTGGGAAGTTTTCATTATTTTTTGGACAATTTTTCATTCCCACTCTTTCTCTGCTTTCCTGGGAGTTTAATGATATGAATATTAGCTCTTTTGTTATTGTTTCATATGTCCCTGAAACCTTGTTCATTTTTTTAAAAATATTTTCTGTATTCGAGATTTTATTAATCTGCCTTCAAGTTCACAGCTTCTATCTTCTATCATCTCCACTCTACTGTTGAGCCCATACAGTAAGGTTTTTATTTTTGTTATTATATATTTCAGTTCTATAATTTCCATTTGGTTCTTTTCTATAAATTTTATCTTTTTTATAGATTTTATTGCTTTATTAAGATTTTAATGTTTTTTTTATTTATTGCAAGTATCTCATACTTGCTTGTTGAAGCATTTTTTTGACAGTTACTTAAATCCTTGTCAGATAATTCAAGCTTCTGATTCATCACAGATAAATTAATTGTTTTTGGTTGTTTTCATCATTCAAGTTCTGAATTACCTGATTTTCATTTTGACAAATGATTATTCTAGACATTTCGAATATTATATTATAAGAGTCTGGATTGTATTTAATCATTATTATAGTAAACAGTATCCCTTAGAAGTATAGTGCAAAGCTGGAGACGGTGGAAATTCATCTCCTATCTACACCTTTTGAAACTTTTCTAACAAATAGAGCAACTATTTATACTGTATTACTGTCTCTGAGTGTGGATCTCAGCTTCCCATGGGTTCCTGATGATACCACGAAGGGGAAAATGGAGATCTGACTAACATCTCTGTGTTCCCATAGGGTGGAAATGGAAACTCAGTTCCCAGTAGGGTCTAAACGACACCAAGGGAAGGGAATGGGGGAGTAGGGGACCAAGTAACATAGCCTCTCACCACCTAGATTTGCTTCTTTGTTTTTTTTTTTTAATGTTTTATTTCTTTCTAGGACAGAGAGAGACAGCGTGAGCAGGGGAGGGTCAGAGAGAGAGGGAGTCACAGACTGAAACAGGCTCCAGGCTCTGAGCTGGCAGTCAGCACAGAGCCCGACGCGGGGCTCGAACCCACGAACCGCGAGATCATGACCTAAGTGAAAGTCGGACGCTTAACCGACTAAGCCACCCAGGCGCCCCTAGATTTGCTTCTTTGATGCTGAGTAGAGATGGAGGCTGAGCTCTTCGGAGGAACCTGCTGATAGCCAGTGAAGGAGGAATACGAGTGTTGACTAGCTCTGTTTCCCATATTGTTATTCAGTCTCAGTGCTGGGAGGTGTAAATGTAGGTTAAACTTCTCACTGACACGAGTAGGAAGAAAGCAGAGTGCTAACTAACCTGAATTATATCAGTCTTGGTCAGTCTATTGCTGCTGGGTGAAGGGAGGTTTGTCAATACTAACCCTTCAGGGGAATTATATTGCTGCCTCCTGCTTCCATCAGAGAGGTATGGAAGATCTTAAGATCCCTACTTGGCCATTACTGACACCAGTTGACAGGGGAATGGGAGCAGAGCACTGCCTGCTTTTGACATGCAGGGAATGGAAGGTCAATTCCATGCTTCGCCCTGCTGAAACTAAAACCACTGGGTAGGGAAATTGGAGTATGTTCCTTGTTTCTGGGGTGGGTTGGATGGTCAACTCCCCACTCTGCCTGTTGAAACTTCAGGGGTGAGGAAGGACAGGGGTGTGTGTGCTTTTTCAATTGATTTTTGGCTGGAGTAAGGTGGGAATTACTTAAGAGCTTTTCTGTGGTTAGGCTAGCATTTCAGTCACTTTGTTGGGGCGGGGAGAGGGGAACAGCCTTCTGCTGAAGTTTTTTTTTTTTTTTCCTGTCTATTGGCAGTTTTGAGTTGGAGGCTTCTCCCAAACTCTTTCTGGAACATGGGTGAGGTGATAAGGATACCCAGGGGGCTCACTACTGTATTGTTTCTCAAGTTGTGAGGTCTTAGGATCTTTGCCTTTCTACATGTCTTTCTTTCCACCATTCAGAGTCTTCCTGTGCTTGTTTGTTGTGTTATGTTTAGAGTTTTTTAGTTATAAAAAGGAGGGTCTGGGAGTTATGGAGATACTCTGTCTTGGCAGGATCCATTTCATTGATTTTTACCTCTCTAATATCTTTCAAGTCCATTAATGTCTCAGCATTCCCATTGTAGCATCCTTAATATTCATAAATTCACCCATCCTTTGTACAACCTCAGGGGCCTCTTCACTAATAAATATATATTGTGAAAGAATTTTTCCAACAAAAAAAATAGGGACCCAAAAAAGTTAACAAAGGATTTTTAAAATTTACTTCCAGTGATGAAGGCAATTTGGGAGATGAAGCTTAGATTCTTAGTATTATAGGGCTCCTAGGATTTGATGGCTTAAGTTTATAGGGACAATTCTACATTTGGATTGTTTCCCCAAATCTTAAAGTTATGTCTTATAATTTTAGTAATTTAGAGGAGGAAGAAATCACTTATAGCTATGATTTTCAGGGAAGCATTATGCATAAGCTTGGTTTTATGGGAGAAGACAGGCAAAAAACAAGATATGAGCAAATGTACAAAGCATACTTGGGGTGGTGGTAGAATAGACTTGTTTGTTTGAAATAGTTTCTCATGGTTTTCCTAATTAATGATAATTATCACTTTCAGTACTTTTTTATTTTATGGATTAACAAGTCACTGGATTAGAAATTTTGATTCAATAGGCCTGAGTAGAAGTGCAGGAATCTATTTTAAACAAGCATTTCAGACGATTTTTAAGTTCAAGGTAACTTGGGAAACAGAACTGTAGAAAACACAATGGCAGATCAAGTTGGAATAAAAGTAGGTTACAGATTATGTGGGGCTTTAAATGCCAGATGAAAAAACTCAGAATGATGTTGCTGAACATGAGGAATATTTAACATTTGGAATTCTGTGACTCCCTTTTATTCATTACACTGGAAATGGTGCCAGTATTATGGATGTGGATAGCATAAGTTAATAACTGTTGTCTTGTTTACATTGAAATAACTGTTAAGATTACCTGAACTCTGCAAAAATATGTAGTTGCAGGAATGAGACCTTTCAATTCATAGCTCAGACAAGAGCCAGTGTATATCAAGTGCATCGATTCTTCAGCTTGTCCCCACTCTAGTCTGTAATCTGTGATTTCAGCACCATTACACACAGGAATCTAAAAGATGCAACAAACACAGAAATTGAGTTCTTTCTATAAATTGTCACTATACTAGATACTATGGAGAATTACACCATGAGCTTTTGATGTCAAAACTCATAATATATTAAATGGTATGAGATATAGACAAGAATAGAAAGAATTAAACATAAGACAGAGCACTGTAATTGACATTAAAAGGCTCAAATAAAATTAAGAGAAAAGATTGGCTAATCCCACATATTTGATAAATTCTTGTTTGTAATTTGTTAAAATTATTCTCAAATAGGTTACTTGAGAAAGAGCAAACTTAGATATATTAATGTTGCTTAACATTACTATTGATTATAGTGGGATCAAACACAAATTCCAGTAGTCTCTGGATTTTGTACAGTGATGTAATTAGACTTATCACTTATTATTATCAGACTAAATCTTTTGTGTCAATGCTAAAACCCTCTGTTAGAGTCTAGGAAAAATGGAAGAAAAGTTCAAAGATATCTAAGTGGCTTAATAGTTTGGCCAAATTTTTTGAGCTTGTTTAAATGGGAAGCTATTCACATGGATGCAAAACATTTTTAATTAAAAAAATTTTTTTATTCTCAAGTTAGTTAACATACAGTGTAGTCTTGGCTCCAGGAGTAGAATCCAGCGATTCATCACTTACATATAACAGCCAGTGCTCATTCCAACAAGTGCCCTCCTTAATGCCCATCACCCATTTTCCCCACCCCTCCACCCCCCACCCCATCAACCTTTAATTTGTTCTCTGTATTTAAGAGTCTCTTATGGTGATGCAAAACATTTTTTAAAGCTTCATTATCTCATAGTCACATTTTAATGTGTCATATTATAGAGTTACATGCAAACAAACATGACCAGAGATTTTCCAATGAAATTTTTTTTAAAAAGTAGATTCTATAAGTTTATTTACTTATTTATTATTTATTATAAATTCACTTAATTTTATTATCTCATGTTTTGGTTTTAAGAATTAAATTAATTATGTACTGGTAGCCTATTTGGTTTTCCAAATTTATTAATCTCCATAAAAATAGGATCTGGAAAGCAGATCCTTTCTAATAGTCTTAGCCTTTCTAATAGTACTAGTATCAGGTCTTATGTGTGTTTGAGAATCATGGTCCAAGATTTATGGAACCTGAATCTAAACTCTGACTTCTTAGGGAGTTGTATACTTTCAAAAACATGCTAAAGCAATTACTGTGCTCTTATATGAACAAAATTAATAAAAATAAGTTGATAACATACCTCCCAACTAACAACAACACAGGTTGGACCCTTGCAGGTTACCACAGGTGTACCACATTGAGAAGGAGGGCTTGGGACTGGTACAGTTTCACACTTCATTGAATGAGCTCCAGACTACAAATAAACACAACAAATAAGAAAACACAAAAATGATTGTGCAGGCATGGTCACTCCCTACCTTGACAGGAAATAGAAGCATATATTCATCCAAAGTGAAATGAACTATGAATGAGCCAACCGAACAATTTAACTTCCCCAGCACTATTCACTGCTTTTGACCAGAAACTGGATTCTTCAGAAAGTAGTTTACTCACTGTGCATCTCAATTTGGAGCCAGGGTGCCTTCGTTTGTCATCTTGGTTACCTTCTGCCTTTTTGACATTTGCAAATGCTTCTGAATTTCCATTAGTAGGAGGATTCTCTACAAAAATGTACAAAATAAACCACAAAATGTGCAAAGTAAACTTAAAAAGTTTGCAAATAATCTTAAGGATGTTACTTTGAAATAATACAAAATAATTTTAAAAGACACAATGTCAAAACATATAACAAAGTACCAGAAAACTCAAATTATATTAGTTTGTGTCAATTAACTTTTTCCAGACATTTAAAAAATTTAAAAATCCATTAAAAAATGTATCGACCTAGAGGCTATTATGCTAAGTGATGTGAGTCAGACAGGGAGCCCATATGATGTCATACTATATGATTTCACTTATATGTGGAATCTAAAAAATGAACTAATAAACAAAAAAAAAACCAGTCTCTTAAATACAAAGGACAAACTGGTGGTTACCAGAGGAGAGGTGGGTGAGGGGATGGGCAGATAGATAAAAGGGATTAAAAGGTACAAACTTACAGTTATAAAATAAGGAGATGAAAAATACAGCATAGGGAATATATATAATCAATAATATTGATTGCATGGTGACAGATGGTGATTATAATTATTGTGGTGTGCACTAATGTATAGAATCATTGAATCAATATGTTGTACACCTGAAACTAATATAACATTGAATGTTAATTATACTCCAAAAATTTTTGTGAGCACCAATCACCAAGTAAGAAACAGTTTTCTAAATATTATTCAATTTCGTAGCAAAAAGTCTACTTGCTCTGCTTTAATAACATTAATTTTAATTTTTTAATGTTTATTTTTTATAGAGAGTGAGAGAGAACAAGTGAGTCAGGAAGGGGCAGAGAGAAAGGGAGACACAGGATCTGAAGCAGGCTCCAGGCTCTGAGCTGTCAGCACAGATCCCGACTCAGGGCTCAAACTCATGGACACTGAGATCATGACCTGAGCCGAAGTTGGATGCTTAACTGACTGAGCCACCCAGGTGCCCCTAATAACAATTAATTAAAATCAGAGGTTATAAAATAAGAAATTTAGGTAAAGTCATTCAAATCATACAAGAAGCCTCACCACATTTGATGTTTGTCTCTCTGGTTTTTGCTGCACCATTCAAGGGTAGAGGATTGCAAGATGCAGAAGAAAGAGTAGGTGTTTGAATAGTCAATATATCTGAAGGCTAAGAGAAGTACAATATACATTATGATATTAAATTCAAGTTCAGCTTTTAAAAACATTTTTAAAAGACAAATCTTCAATTTAAAACCTTATCTGTTTCCTCACCTGGCTTTGACCTATAGGTGAAGTACAAAAGACTCTCAGTTTATATGTAGTACCAGGTTGCAGGTGATCATATAGAAATTCCTTTGTGGTTCCATTGTAGATTATGTTCCAGGAATTCACTGAAGAGATAAAAGCAAATTTATACACTTTATTTATAGGTAGTTTATAAATGCTACGGGTCCCATTATCTCATGTGTATATCAAGAAATAAGCATTTTGGAAATTAAATGTGGTCCAGCTACCTATTTACAATAGGTCCACTTACTTATTTAACAATAATTATATTCCTTATAGAACTAGATGTAAAATAAAGATTAGTAAATAAACATAATTTGTTACTAAAAAATGGATAAATCTAAGTTTAGTTAATAGCATTATAGCATTGTACCAATGTCAATTTTCTGATTTTGATAATTGTACTATGGTCACGTAAGATATTAAGTTTAGGAGAAGTGGAGTGAAGAATTCTCTATACTATTTTGGCAACTTCTAGGTAAGTATAAAACTATTTCAAAATAAAAACTTTTTAAAAATCATGATAAGGGGTGCCTCGGTGGTTCAGTTAGTTAAACATCTGACTTCAGCTCAGGTCATGATCTCTTGGTCTGTGAGTTTGAGTCCTGCGGTGTTCTCTGCGCTGACAGCTCAGAGCCTGGAGTCTGCTTTGGATTCTGTGTCTTCCTCTCTCTCTGTCCCTCCCTTGATCGCACTCTGTCTCTCTCTTCAGAAATGAACAAACATAAACTTTTAAAAAAAATCATGATGCATAGTTGTTGTGATGAGCACCCTGTGTTGTATGGAAGTATAGAATATTGTACACCTGAAACTAATATTACATTGGATGTTAACTGACTGGAATTTAAATAAAAACTTTTTTAAAAACCTATAATTTAACTTTGAAAAAAACCATAATGTCTTACCATCTGAATTTTCATTAACTTCTAAACTGTAACTTGAAATGTATGTCCCACCATTATCTTGTGGTGGTTCTGAAAAGAGAAATAAATTTAAAATTATTCTTGAATAAACAAAAGTTTTTCACTGGAAATTTATGAAATCAATGTTAATAGAATATTGATATTGGACATGAAACATTTAAAGTGACATTTTAAGTTCTGTGGAAGAGGCTAAAATGTAAGTATTTATACATTGAATTTGATTTTTCCAAATTAGTGGCAAACTAATTTACAAAAATATTTTTCTTGTCATGTTGACATTTATCATTGATGTCTTTTTAATTATGGCCTCTATGTTAGATATACTCTTACTTGGGATAACTATAGTTGTTAAGGGCTCATAAAAAATTTAGCGATTTCTTCATGTGTGAATTAATGAGATAGCAATAGAGAACTCAACAAAGAACTGGAAAAATATCATTTATAACTAATCTTATTTATATGGTAAAATACTTCATATAAAATAATTAAGAGAATATTTAATTAATTTATTTATTTAAAAAATTTTTAATGTTTTATTTATTTCTGAGAGAGAGAGAGAGAGACAGCGTGAGCAGGGGAGGGTCAGAGAGAGAGGGAGACACAGAATCCAAAGCAGGGTCCAAGCTCTGAGCTAGCTGTCAGCACAGAGCCGAACGTGGGGCTCAAACCCACGAACTGTGAGATCATGACCTAAGCCGAAGTCAGACGCTTAACTGACTGAGCCACCCAGGAACCCCAAAAGAATATTTTATAAAGCTGAGGGCAATCAGGGAAGATTTCTTCTCAATAGTTAATATTAAGATAGAGAGAGCACATTTTTTAAATGTTTTTAAATGTTTTATTTATTTCTAGGAGAGAGAGAGAGACAGCGTGAGCAGGGGAGGGTCAGAGAGAGGAGGAGTCACAGACTGAAACAGGCTCCAAGCTCTGAGCTGGCAGTCAGCACAGAGCCCGACGCGGGGCTCGAACCCACGAACCGCGAGATCATGACCTGAGCGAAAGTCAGACGCTTTACCAACTAAGCCACCCAGGTGCCCCGAGAGAGCACATTTTTAATACAAAAACATTACCCCATCCAATTTTCGCTTTGTGTGCATAGATCTTTCCCTTAATATATGGTTTTTTAGGGGATCCAGGCTTATCTGGACAGGTAGTATATTTTACTTCTCCACTGGGGTTACTCCTTCCTTCTGAAGTGTAGGCAAGGATCTGTTTGAGTAAAAGAGAATACCTTGGTTGACCGCTGGAAATAAATCTATGATTGGAAAATATGCATAGTTTGCAAATAATATCATAAAGCAAGTTATTTGACTGAAAATTTCTGAGAAATAAATGCAAAATAACTTAATTTCAACAAAAAATGGCATTCACATTTTACCTCCAGTGATGAGTATAATTTACTATTAAAAATATGATACAAATTTATAAATTATAGCTACATACCCTAAACTTGTATGTAGTACTTCTCTGAAGATTTCTTATAGTGCATGAGAGGGCTTCTCCATTATATTTAGGTTTAAATCCCAATCCCTGGAAATGAAAGACAATAAACAGGAATCAGGCAGGCCTGGGTTCAAGTTCCAACTCCACCTTCTGGGTGGTCCTGAGCAAGTCCCTTAGTCTCTCTGAACCTTAGTTTCTCTATATAAAAAGAAAGATACTTTTTACTTTATTTTTTTTTTCATTTTATTTATTTTAGACAGAGAGAGTTAGTGGGGGATGGGCAGAGGGAGAGAAAGAGAGAATCCCAAGCAGGCTCACCATAGAGCCCGATGCAGGGCTCAAACCCATGACCCTGGGATCATGACCTGCACTGAAACCGAGTCGGATGCTCCACTGACTTGAGCCACCTAGGCACCCTGATATTTTCTACTTTAAAGGGCTCCTTTTTTTTTTTCAGGATGTAATGAGATAATGTATATGAAGGCAGTTAGTATATTAATTACATAGAATTCTTCTTAATGTTAGTTTCTTCAATTTAAAATGTGGTAAAATATACATATTATAAAATTTACAGCTGTTTTTAACTTGACTGGCTTATTTAGTACAGACTTGAAAGTTCAGAATGCAATTAAACAGTTTGCCCACCCTCATCAGGAATCCAGGGAGATGAGGAAAGAGTTTGCCCTGGTAGAAGTATGCAGAAGATGTCTATGACCATGTAAGGTCATTTGGGATGGGCTCAAAGTTGAAGAACTAACACACTTCACTGAGTATCTACTGTGTTGTTATGGCTTCTGCTGATTTTAATTAATTTTCAGGGACTTGGGTACCTTCATATCTCCCTGTGCTTGCTTGCTTAACATTGGCTCTGGATTGGCCCCATCCAGAACACAGAGACTCAGGAATCATGCAGTTTGATTGAGTAGAAATTAACTTAATCATAGGAGAAAAAAGGGGAAAGCAAAGAAACAGACTCTTAATTATAGTGAACAAACTGATTGTTAGTAGTCATGGATGGAACTAGAGAGTATAATGCTAAGCAAGATAACTCAGTCAGAGAAAGACAGATACCATATGATTTCACTCATATGTGACATAAGAAACAAAACAAGCCAAGGGAAAAAAAATAAGAGACGGAGAGAGACAAATAAAAAAAGAGACTCTTAATTACAAAGAACTGATGATTACTAGAGGAGAATTGGGTGGGGGGATGGTTTAAATAGGTGATAAGGATTAAGGAACACTTATTGTGTTGAGCACTGGGTGTTGTATACCTGAAACTAATATTTCACTGTATGTTAACTAACTAGAATGTAAATAAAAACTTAAAAGAAGAAATTAACTTAAATCTAAGATTTTTTAGTATAAAATGCTTATAAAATGTACCTAAAATTGAAGTTGAAGATTAAAACATGTGAAAAGAAAACTTACAGATCCTGCTTCCTCCATTTCTAGTACATAAGTAAGACTGTCATTTGGGTTTGTGTTAGTTGGAGCACACCATTCTAGTGACAAATTACAGATTCCTGCTTCTTTTAGCTTAGGAGGTAAAGGTGTTGGAGGCATAGTTCCTGATGTATGGAAGACTGCTATTTCACTGAAATCACTGAAAAAGAAATTAATGTGGAAAAATTATTTTCAGGTTCTTATTGAAGTATAGACTTTTAAATATTGCAATAATTCAACGTACCTCAAGCCAAAGTCATTTTTGGCAGCTAATCTGAATGAATATTTTGTAGAAGCATTTAGTTTAAGGATTTTGTACTGTTTCATGGTACCCGTATAGCAACTTTTGAAGTCTTCACCTTTACCCTTAATCATAGACACAAAATATTAGACTATTATAAAATGCTGCAAATATAAAATTTTTTCATAACATTAATAACCATTTATAAACAAGTGATTTTCAAAATTAAAATTGCTCACCTCATCCCATTCCAAAAGGAAGCCATTTATTTTGGAGCCATTATCACTGGAACCCTAAATATATCAAAAGATAAAATTATGATGGGATGTTTATACACAGTAGATGTACACGCGTGTGCGCGCGCACACACACACATACACAATATAATTAAGGTGATTGAAATTACTGTAAAATTAATCTTGCTTACATTTTGTTTTTAAAGCAATCCAGATTTTAAAGTTAAAATGCACTTTTTTTAACAGTCTATAAGACATGCTCAAATCCTAGGGCTGTGTTTTCCAAGTTTTATGCAATAAAGAAAGTTAGTACTTAAGTAAATTAAGAGGTAGATTTATTGGTAACTACAATTATAAATAGTTTAGGTTGTAGAAATTGACACTTCAACTTTTACTAATTGAAATTCTTATTGACATTTCTCAATTTACTTGATGCTTGAGATAGATTGAAGAGAAAGATGATTATGGAAAAGGAAAACTGCTAAGGAAATAGATCAGATGAGACATGTATAATTTCATATTTAAAATTCAGGACAAAGTAGAAAGAATTTTTAAAACTTTTTTAATGTTTATTTGTTTTTGAGAGACAGAGACAGAGCAGTAGAGAAAGAGCGGGAGACACAGCATCCGAAGCAGGCTCCAGGCTCCACCCAAGCTGTCAGCACAGAGCCAAATGCGGGGCTTGAACCCACGAACCGTGAGATCATGACCAGAGCTTAAGTCAGATGCTTAACCAACTCAGCCACCCAGGCGACTTGAAAGAATATTTTTAAATTAAGAAAAAAAAAAAAAACAAGTGGAGGAATTTTTGGGAGTAAAATACTTACTTTCCACTGTAAATTCAGGCTGCTCTTGGATCGGTTAATTAGTTGGGGTGCAGGTGGAGGGTCTGGTTCACAACCTGGAGTTGTGAAGCTAACCACTTCAGACACAATTCTGTGTGCTGAGCCTCTTATGGTTGTGATTCTAAAAATGTAATGACAGTTGTTGTAAGCTTTCAGATATTTATCCTAACATGTACTAAATTGGGCAATTGAGTTTCCAGGTATATTGTAGGAGATAATTATAAAAATTGTTCTAATAGAACAAACTTGGATTTGGTTACAGATAATGGTTCCCAAATCACCCTCTCACAAGTTCTAAATGACATAAAGTACAGTAATGTTGGATTTTGAGGGGGATATTTTGAAGCTTAAAGGAGAGGCTACTTGGTTGGCAAGTAGCAAACCTGACTGCAGAAATCATAAGTAGCAAACTGATACAAACTGGAGAGTCTATCTGGCTACAGGGTGGGTGGAGATTGTGTAGGATGGATTTCTTACCTTACAAAATGGGCCACAGATGGTTGTAGATCAAGTAGAGTAAATGTAACTCCATCACCACTGTGAACATAATCTTTGTTTATGAATGATCTCACACATATTTAATAGCTAAGTAACAGTAGTAATCTTATATGTTCAAGTGATGAACAAAAAAGCACAGTTTTCCTTGACGTTTAGATAACTTTAGCCCATTTTATATGAATGCAAAAAAGTGATACTAATACTGCAAATTTTTCATTTGCATGCTAAATTAATAAGGCTTTATGAAATGACATTTTGTAACTTTACCGCTGCAACTTCTTCACACTGTAATAACACAGAACTGTCTTTAATTGGCTTGTTTTAAATAGTGTTGATATGAAAAGCCTCAAGGACACTGTGCATCATGCAATATATTCATTCAGTTACACAGGGAAATCTTTCTGGGAAGGGCACCTATTTGCTACAGTGGATACAGTGGCTGTGCTTTCACACCTATGTCTTTCTGAAACAGTCATAAGTTCCTAGGTGTACTCTACCAACTCAAAGGGTTCCTTCAGGCTCTAACCCCAGAAATAGCCTCCAAAAAGAGCTAAAAGATGATTATTTTTAAGCAAAGGCTGATACTTCTTTTTTTTTAATAATTTTTTAAATTTTATTTCTAGGAGAGAGAGAGACAGCGTGAGCAGGGGAGGGTCAGAGAGAGAGGGAGATACAGACTCTGAAATAGGCTCCAGGCTCTGAGGGGGCAGTCAGCACAAAGCCCGACGCGGGGCGCGAACCCACGAACCGTGAGATCATGACCTAAGCGAAAGCTGGACGCTTAACCAACTAAGCCACCCAGGCGCCCCACAAAGGCTGATACTTCTAAGCAAAAGTCACTCAAGGTTGTAGGGTAATCGGAATATTTAAAAAAAAAAACAGACTTTTATGAAATGCATAACATCAAAAAAGACCACCATGTAACCCTCATGCAAAACTTAATTTCATAAATACCTTTTCATCACATTTTACATCTTCCCATTCCTCTACCCAATATAGAAGACTGTGTATTATATACTTCTTAAATTTAAAATTTCTACCTGCTAATTATAAGGGAAGTAAAACTTTTCATAACTAGTTACATTTAAAATTTCACTTTGAGGGGCTCCTGGGTGGCTCAGTCGGTTAAGCGTCCGACTTCAGCTCAGGTCATGATCTCACAGTTTGTGGGTTTGAGCCCCGCATCGGGCTCTGTGCTGACAGCTAACTCAGAGCCTGGAGCCTGTTTCGGATTCTGTGTCTCCCTTTCTCTCTGACCTTCCCCTGCTCACAGTCTCTCTCTCTCTCAGAAATAAATAAAACATTTTTTAAATTTTTAAAAAAACAAAATAAAATTTCACTCTGAGTCTCCGAGTAAAGGTGACAAATTTTAGCAAATGAAGTTTAAGTTGTGTTATGATTTTTAAAGTGCTGTACAGACAGCTCTAGATCTCTGACTTATATCTTGCATGATTGTTTGGTGGGCAAAGGAATTTCTCCTTCTTCCTCCTTTGTGATTTCCTTTTTACTGTGCCTCTCTCAGTTTGTTCTTTTTCAGACTGCATGTCTCTATTCAGTTGAGAAGCTGTTTGTTTAGAGTGGTTGGATATGCTCTTGCTGTGTTCTCCATTGTATTCTCCCTAGTCCTGGTCTATCTTCTGAGCACATTCCTAAGCGCATCCTGCTACTGTCATAGTTACACTTTATAACTAGCTTCTGTAATGAATTTTCCAAGAAAGCCCAAGTCTTAAATCCCATTGCAATGCAAATACCTCATTTGTGTTGCCAAAGGCCTACCATAAAGTGAATTTTTTTTCCCCTAAAATGACCTAAGTGAAAAATGAGAAGGGAGAATTGGAGGGAACATTTTTCTCCCGAGTATAAAATTGTTAAAAGGGAAAGCTATAAATGGAAGAGAATGGACTAGTTGATATTTAAGGTCCTTCTCAGCACTAACATACTTAGGATTTATTGAATTTCATGGACTGACCTGGCAAACTCCTACTACATATAAAACTATTTTAGTAGAAAATTGAATTTAAACCTTGGAAAATTTTTCAGAAAAGAACTTTAGAACTCAGCCAAGGTATAAGTTGAGGTCTATACATTTAGATGGCTTATTTGAACTGAATTATGAGAAATTAGAGATGATTAAAAAGAAACAGACTTACATATATATATTTTTATATTTTCCATTTTTACCACTGTTAGATATTGCCAGTTCAAATGTCACAGGAGATTTGATGTGATCACATTTCTTAGAACCATGTAGTTTCCATGAAATAACAGCAGATCTTGTTTGAATATCAGAAACCTAAAATAAATATCAAAAATTCAGGTGGGACATTTAAAAGGTATAATCTGTAACTTATAGGTATAATCTTTCCCTACATCTTTTTGATGCTAAGAATATTGTTCTTCTTATATTAGGTGCTTAAATACTATGATTAAGCAATGCCATTAACATTATTTTTAATAATACCATTCTGAATATTTATGTATATATAGCTAAATGAGACTATGAAATTTTAACCAGGTGGCTTCAAATTAAAATTTTACTAGAGAAAAATATCAGTGAATTTGCACATTTTAGAGTGAAAAAGTAAATTAAAAGGAATGTTTAAATATTCAGTTTAGTTACTTACTATAGGTTTCTCAATGCTGAAACAGCATGACTTTCCACGTTCTATTATGCATTCTAAAAGAAAACACCCCAAAATAAAATATTACATTGGCAAAAACAAGAGAAAGAAGTTAAATGTCTATTATCCAACTACAAATACATCATCACCAGGAGAGCTACTAAACACCTGGTAGCAATTTACATTAGGGTTTTAAAGGAAGAGAGGAGTGTAAAGTGTATGTTATCAAACAGACTCTGACAAAAGACAGAGTCCCCGATTTAAATGAAATAATGTGTGGCGCCTGAATGGCTCAGTCGGTTAAGCATCGACTTTGGCTCAGGTCATGATCTCACGGTTCGTGAGTCCGAGCCCTGCGTCGGACTCTGTGCTGACAGCTAGCTCAGAGCCTGGAGCCTGTTTAAGATTCTGTATCTCTCTTTCTCTCTGACCCTCCCCTGCTCATGCTGTCTGTCTGTCTGTCTGTCTGCCTTTCTCTCTCTCTCTCTCTCAGAAATAAATAAGACATTAAAAAAATAAAAAAATTTAAAAAGAAATGAAATAATGTGAATTACAACTATAAAATAATTTGTAATGTTTCACTGGGGGCAACTAGAAAAAGTTATGTGGTGTGCATACGAAATATGACACATTTTGCATGATGATGGTCATTTCTCCATGATTTAAAAAAGAATTTCAACCGTGGTTTCATTAAGAATTTAGATTTAAGGATACAAACAAGAAGACAAGAGGAAATGGAACCAGAAAATGGCACCTAAATATTTAAGGTGTACTGAGATTCCTAAACATTAGGATGTTTAGTCATTGGTAACAAACAAAACCAAACTCCTGACCTTACCTTTTTCTGCAGCATTTGATGATGCTTTGTTTTCTTTTCCACCTGGTTTCTGCTTGATGTCTGTACTTCTTGTAGCATTCCATTTCTTTCCATGACTAGTCTCAACATGAGCACTGACATGGTTGGAATTGCTGACAGCATTGGAAGCACTGAGATCACCATCAGTGGCAGAAGTGCTAGAAGCACTTTCAGAGATGGAAGCGCCGGGAGCATTTTCAGAGATGAGAGTGCTAGGAGCATGGTCAGGAATGGAAGGGCTTGGAGTGCTGTCAGTAGGTAATGGCTTGGGAGTGCTCTCAGAAGTGGAAATCTTGGGGACATAATTAGTGCTGGGAGGGTTTGGAACACTATCAATGGTGGAAAGAAGAGCACTGTCTGTAGTGGGAGTACTAGGTACATGGTTAGTGGAAGAATTGCTGGGAGTACTGTCAGCAATGTTAGTGCTTGGAGGGTTGTCAACAGTGTAAGTACTAGGAGTATTGTCAGCAATGTAAATGTTCTGAGCATTGTTCACAGTGTAGGTACTTGGACCATTCTCCACAGTGTAAGAGCTCAGAGTATTTTCAACATTGTAAGTGCATGGAACATTGTCCACAGCGAAAGTGCTTGAAGTATTGTCCACAGTGTAGGTACTTGATGCACTATCAACAATGTAGGTTTGTGTAGCATTCTCCACAGTGTAGGTGCTCAAGGTATTGTCAAAAGTATGGGTACTTGGAGCAATGTCCACAGTGTAAGTGCTTGGAGTAAGAGGAATACTGGAAAAATCATTGGTTTTGTTCACAAGCAAAGAGGTGCTGATAACCATATTGCTATTCTTGTGTCCGCCTACTTGACATTCTCCCAGGTTTTTCTTCATATGTTCTTCCATTTTAGCAGCCCTTTCATCAAACTGGTTATAATTTGGTCTTCCATGGGAATAAGTTTCTAAAAGAGACAATGGAATACTGCTTAGTAATTATAATAATTACATATCTCAAGTTCTTTTTAGTATATTCTTCAAATCAGCAAAAAAAAAAAAGCAGTGATAAGCCATGCTAACTGTTCAAATTTTTCCTATTTTCCTGTAATACAGATATTAGGTATGTGAGTGTGTGTTTCTATAAGGTTTTGATATGTACAGAAAGAAAAACATGAGCAAATACAGATAGTGTTTTCCTAGGGAATATCTCTACATCCAAATTTTAAGGTTCTAAGATGATTGTAATGTTGACCCGTCAATGTCTTTTATATTCCCCCTGCATGATAGTAATAATCAAAACATTCTTTTATGATTTACTGATATAATTATATTGACCCAATCAGTAAAAATAAATATCATAAATCGCATGTTATATCAAAGTACAAAAAATTATAGAAAATTATGTTTATGAGCATTTTATCTAAGATACAGACCAGTGCTTATTTTCATCAATCCTAATATACATGCATGAAATGCAATCATTTATGAAAATGTTACTATTTTCTACTTTTTTCATTTTAATAATTTCCCAAAGCTGTTAATTTTAACAAATTCAAAATATTTCCTATTTAGAAAAATTATATACTACCTTGCTGCTCGTGGTATATAACTGTTGCTGATGGTGGCAGCAGTGGTGGTGGGAGTGGTGGTGGTGGCAGCTGCTGTGGCATAGGCTCTTGGATGTAAGGTGCTGGAAATCCCCCTTGAGCTGGGGGATACGTAAGTTGAGGACCTTGTGGATATATAGGAGAGGATGGTGTGATGAAGTGTGGTACTTGTGGTATAGGAGCAGGCATGGTTGTGTGATAGTCAATTGTCTGAGGCACAATGATAATTTTGCGAATGCCATTTTCTTCCACCACCTAAGTTGGAAGACAGAAACATATAAACATATTGGAATTAATAAAACTTGGCATTTTCTACTAAGTTTTAGATTTATGTCCTGTGTTCTTAATTTAGAAAATCTAAAGGATCAAAAAGTAATAATGAAGTGAAGCTATATCAAGCATAAGACAAGATAATTCTTTCTTTCTTTTTTAAATATTTCTTTTATTTATTTCAGAGAGAGAGGAGAGAGAGAGAGAGAGAGAGAGAAGGGAAGGGTCAGGTCAGAGAGAGAGAAAGAGAGACGCAGAATTCGAAGCAGGCTCCAGACTCTGAGCTAGCTGTCAGCACAGAGCCAGACGCAGGGCTCGAACCCACAAACTGTGAGATCGTGACCTGAGCTGAAGTCGGATGCTTAACCAACTCAGCCACCCAGGTGCCCCCAAGATAATTCTTTCTTGTCTCCACAGGCATAGCTTTCAAAAAGGTACTTTTTTGACAATAGATAATATATTGACATGGTTTAAAACCATAAGGTATAAAAAAAACCTATATATGAAAAATATCCCTCTTAAACCTTATCTGCTCAATGCCCCCATTGATAACTATTGTTCTTAGTTCCTTATGAATCCTTCCAGAATTTGTCTATACAAGCAAGAATACAGATTCTTTTTAAAAAATTTTTTTTTATGTTTTATTTATTTCTAGGAGAGAGAGAGAGAGAGAGACAGCATGAGCAGGGGAGGGTCAGAGAGAGAGGG